TCTAGAGGGGCTGTACCAGTTTACATTCCCACCAACAGTGTAGGAGGGTGCCCGTTTCTCCACATCCTCGCCAACATCTAGAGTTCTCTGATTTGCTCATTTTAGCCATTCTGACTGGCTTGAGGTGGTATCTCAGTGTGGTTTTGACCAAATCCAAATCTTAACTCTACCCCTTAAAGAACTGTGTGACATAAGAGTCAAGGTTTTCTCATTTATAAAATGGGATAATAACCATTTCATCTACTCCTTGTTGGGAGTGCATGAGACAAAGTGTTTAGTGTGGCAATATATGACAAGCGCTCAATAAATGGTATATGACATTCATTACAAGGGGGCAGCTAGCCTATATAAAGCTTCCTGGAGGAGGTGACTCTTGAAGTCAGTCTTAACCAATGAACAGGAAGGGGAAGGAGTCAAGATGGAATCTTAGAGAAAGGTTAAGTTTCCACACCAGCATTAAGAACTTGTCATAATCCAGTCTCTCACTACCTCAGCAGCCTCATCTCCTTAACTCTCCTAAATAAACTCTCCTAAATAAACTCTCCTTTCAATCCAGGCCAGTATACTAACTGACCTCAGAATATACTTAAATAATCTTATTTTTTCTATTAATGCTTAGGCCATACCTTCCCAAGCCTGGCACTAGTCTACAGACTGTCTATAAGACCAACATAAGTTCCACCTTCTTGTAATTGATCAGTCTGGACCTTATCAATGGCTCCATTCTTTGAACTTTTCCAGGACAAGTTCCTCAGCGCATTTCCTTTGTCCTCTGATAACATACATGTTCATCATAGTCCTTAACCGTCCTTTACACTTATTTAATTTTTCACATGTGAATGTAATGTCTTCATTGGGATGCATATTCCATGAGGGTAAGACTTCATGTAAGCCAGAGAAAACAGGGCAGAGATATAGTAGTTTAGTCTCAGATCTATTTGGTACATGAATGAACAGATCAGTAACAGCCTCAGGGTCAAACGCAAAGCACATGACCAGTCTGTAGAGACTTAAGTGCTTGGGTTTAACAGGATTTCTTGGTTTTAGTTCTTACCTTGATATGCCCTCAGCTCTGTCAACAGCAAACTATAAAAACTTTCCACTGTGGGTTGTGCTAGTCACTTAAAACGCCTCAAATCCTTAACATATGATATAAGCAAATAAAAGTCAAGAGAAAGACTGGCAGTCAACTCCTTAGACATGGCTACTATATTGGAAGGTAGTAGACGGAATAGCAGAAGCAAAAGATCTAGGTTAAACTTACTGGCTTTAGAACTTGGGCAAATCCTTAACCTCTCCGAGAGATAATTTCTTTATCTAATAATATGGATTAATCACTTACCACCCAGGGTTGCTGTGAAGATTAAATGAGTTAACATATAAAGCAACTAACAGTGCCAGAAATATAATCCCTCTGTGACTATTCATTATTAAAACATTATACCAACCCATCATCCTCTGCAAAAAAAAGGTAGAAAAATAGAGATTCTCTTCCTTCTTTAAAGATAATATTTCAACAACGTGCTGAAACCTATTGAGGCATCAGTGCCAAGCAAGGAATACTAACCCTAACACTCGGTGAGCAATAGAGTTGTCTTTATGGCTAATCTCTACCTGTTACAGTAGGGGAAAAAGCTAGATTAGATCCTTGTGATACTTCTTACAATAACCGCATCTTTTCAAACTTAAAAACTCTTAATGTGACAAAGGAAAACGTGGGAGGCTTAGAGACTATTACTGAGATGAACTCCCACCAAAAGGAAAAAGATCAATAGTGTTCCATAAAGGATAAAGGTGAACTCTTCAAACCTTTGAAGGTACTGAAAATTGGGGCCACTGCCTTTACAATTCTTCAGATCACCCACTGTTAGTCCAAAATGGCAGGTTTTATATTATCAAATAACATGTGGAATGGGCCCCAAAAACCCATAAACTCTTAGAAGTGGAAGAAACCTCTAAGGTCATCCAGCCAAGCCTTTCCTCACCCAGGTGAGGAGGAAGGAATAGGAGAGATGCTGAGCTACATGCCAAACTTCTCTTTGCCTCCCCAGATATGCACTTGTCACAATTTCCCCAAGACTTCATTCTTTCCCTTGCAGTCCACACAACCACACAGAATAGGTTCATCTGCCTTCCGACATGGGCCCAAACACTGAAAATATCCAAGACTCTCGCCCTTGACAGAACACCGGCCCCAAAATGCAGACTATACATTTTTGCTGTTACTTGATTAAACCATCAGGTCTCTGCATAGGAGGTTGTATGTAAAGAGTGACAACGCTGCCTACAAACAGAAATGCAGATTTAGAACTGGAGGCTTTTCCTATTTCTTTTCCAGAAGGAAAGGGCTCCTCTATGTGACTACCAAAGTTACCGGAAGTTTCTAGTGGAGATAAGGGACTTCTTCCCCATGTATCTTCATGACGACACAGTGGAAGAAAAGCTGAGGCTTCTTAGAAGTACAGGATGCCAGGTAACTAGCTCTGAGAGGTGATATACAGACACGTGAAACATTCTCTTGTTAACCGAAGCAACCAAACTTCAAATGACTGTCTTTGGCCCAGTTCCATCCTAAATTTGTGGCTCTATTCTCCTAAACACTTACATTTATCAACTTACATGAGTAAGACACGAAAATGCTTAGGAAAATTAAAGTCACTCAGTGAATAAATATTCATTGTGAATAAAGGCACGTCTACTATAGAAATGAACCCCCTTGTGACAGAAATATATTAGCTAGATATAATTATTCTTCCAAATTAGTCCTTGGAAGCTTGTCCTAACTCCAGTGATTCGGAAAAAAGGCAACACCAGGAACCACAGGTTTGCAAGATTAACAGGGTCAGGAATTTTAGCGGCTGGGGAGGTGAACATTAGTCAACACTGCTATGCAAACACCAAAAAAGCTGAAGTGATATTACACTGAACTTAAAAAAAATTTAGTGAGTTCGGCTCTGCTATAGTCAGAAGACCCTGGAAAGCCTGTGGATGCCACAGCAAAAGGACTATGTCAAAGCGCATTAAGGTCTTAAGCAAGAGACAAGAATTAAATCCAAAATCACATCGGGATGGCTAATATCACAACTAGGGATATTTAGGCTATAGAGAAAAGAGACAAAACAGGAGCAGAACAACTAGATATCTTTAAATACTTGAAGGACAAGCAGGAAAAGAACTAGCATGGTACTAAGCAGCCCCAGGAACAAGCACCAATGGATGAAAAGTTACAGGGAAGCAGGTTTTGGCTCAAAAACACTTTTCCATGTAGCCTCAAAAGTCACTAAATATTAAGAGTGAGAGAAGGAGAAATTTACATAAAGTAGGAAAAGTGAATCTAAAGGACTGAGCACACTGTATGTGCATTCAACAAAAGTTTAGGAGCTCATATGAAGCATGACACTAACATGCAGATTAGAATGAATTATGTTTCCATAAGTCGACTTCCAATCTTCTATAACAAGAAAAAAAATAAAGCATGGACGATTCAGAAAACCACATTTTATGATAATCTGTAAGTGGTGGTCAAGATATTGCAAAATTCCACATGAGAAATGACGATGGGCTGTTCTAGGTGGTGGTGAATGGAAAGGGGTGAAGATTTACAGAAACATTTCAGATTCATAGCTCACACTACTTGATGACTTACTGGAGACTCTTCGAATAACAGTCTTTGGCAGGTTTTACTGTGCTAATCTAGCTATTCATTTATTAACAGTAACAACGAGAGTAGCAAACTTCTTACTCGGTGTCAGGCAAGGTTCTGAAAGTTTTACATAGACTAACTCATTTCATTCTCATAACCCTAGGAAGTATATTCTGTTATGGGGCGTCTAGGTGGTTCTGTTGATTAAACCTGGACTTTGGCTCAGGTCATGATCTTGCAGTTCATGAATTCCAGCCCGGCATCAGGCTCTGTGCTGACAGCTCAGAGCCTGGAGCCTGCTTCGGATTCTGTGACTCCCCCTCTCTCTGCCCTTCCCCAACTTGCGTTCTGTCTCTCAAAAGATAAATTAATGTTAAAAGAAAAGAAAAGAAATGAAATGAAGTATATTCTATTATCCTGCACATTTTATGCATGAGAAACTAAGGCTTAGCTTACATCAGTAAAGTTAGTCAGCCAACCAATAACAAAGATCCAGGAAGAGGTTAGATCCGGGTGGATCTACCTAATCCCAAAGCTAAAGCTCTTAATCGACCCACTAGACAGCTGTAAAGGGGAGGTAACAAAACGTAAGGTATTGTAGTAGTGTGAAGAGCCCAGTGAAGAGCGCTGGGGGAAAAGACGGAGTTTGATGGGGGAGTAACGACGGACGGCAAAGTGAGGATTTAGCAGTATCAGAATCACTAACGTGCTTGCTTAAAAAAAAAAAAAGAAAGAAAGAAAGAAAGAAAGTAAAAACCTTCATTGAATCCAAATTCCTAGAGATGGGACCTAGGAGTTAACTTTTTTTTTTTTTTAAGCAAAACTGAAAAACCTCGGGTAATTTTGAGGGGCAACCAGGTTTGAAAAGTACGGTTTCTTTCCGCTTTAGCATTCCAGCTGACACGCAAAATGAACTTCCCAAAAATGGAAGGAAGGAGGGAGGGGTTCTAGCACCAAGAAAACGGCTCTGCATTTACAGTCAACGCCGCGTACGCTCCCCTTTTTACTAAACAGTCTGTCACGGGCACAGCAATAAAGTAAGCATGGGGGGGGGGTAGTTAAAAAGCAGGCTTTGGGTGACAGGATTTTCTGGTACTATTCACACCCGAAAGAAAACCTTCCCGACTGTAAATACATGTGATAATCTGACTGAAAAAGGACACGGGCGCCTCAGATCCGGGTCTGGCTAGTGGAGGATGCCAACTTAGTCTTCTATGTGCTCTAAGTGTTGCAGGAAACCTCGAGGTTGGGGCCTGCCTGCTCCAAGGCCAAGGGAATCGGCTCAGCAGGAGGGGGTCTGCTCTGCAATTACAACCTCAAGCACCCTGCTCCCGGGGACGACCTGTGCCGCACATACCCGAGGGTCCTCTGGTCAGATTGATTTCCTCCTCAGTGACCACATAGTCCACTCTTCCGTTCATGTCTTAGTGCTCGTCTGGCCTCCCACCTGGGTCGGCTGGGGTTCCCGCAGGTGAAGGTGAACCAATCTCCGCGCGGCGCCCCGAGCACCACACTTTCGGTTTCAGCTGCCCGCGGACCGGAAGAGAAAGCCGGGAGCGCCGGGAGCGCGGGGAATGCCGGGAGTTGTAGTTCTGGCGGCCAGCGCGCGGGCGCCTCTCAGTCCCCGCAGCGAACCGCCGAGGAGCGACGACCCCGTTACCGTTCTACTGGCGGGGGGGGGGGGGGGGGGGGGGGGGGTGTCGTAAAGGGAAGAGGCATAAATACATCGATTTTGTGAAAGAGAAGTTAAACGAAAAGTCTCATGCCTCAAAATCGCTACAAATGTTGGGGGGGGGGGGGGAGTTCTGTTATTCAGTAATCACGAGACCCGGCCAGGACGGGCGTCCCAGGCAATCTATCTGCTACTGTTATTGCAGAGGATGAAATCTCACACCCTTTTATATGGCCCGGCAGGTACAATCCATTACATACAGGTTCTCGGTCAACAGGAGTGAACACAGTTTGCTGTATACGTTCTTTTGTAAGTCGCCCCTGTAGGCGCCATCTGTGTTAGTGAATTGCCATCATCCAAAGGAAAAATAAAACTATGAGAAGCAGGTACTTAAAATTTGGAGCAAGGCGCCTACCCTAACTTCTGTGGCGAAGAGGTGGCACAATTTTCCTTGATATTTACATTTCAAACAGAGTTGTACCTGACAAGAGGCTTTTTGGCTTTTACAAAATTTTATATCCATATAAAAGAGAGAAGGAAGGATTTATAATTACAGGCTTCCTCAAAAAGAATCTAAGGTCAGCTGGCTGGCTCAATCCGTTAAGCTCTGACGCTTGTTTCGGGTCAGGTCATGATCTCACGGTTTGTGAGTTTGATCCCGCGTCAGGCTCTGTGCTGACAGTGCGGAGCCTGCTTGGGATTCTCTCTCGCTTTCTCTCTGCGCTCCCCTGCTCATTCTCTTTCTCTCAAAAATAAATAAATAAACTTTAAAAACATTTTTTTTTTAATCTAAAAAAAGGTAGAGGGGTAAAGGTTTCTTCCTTTTGGTAACAGAAAATTCAAGTTTTTTATTTGGTTGTTTGTTTAATTGGTAAGACTAGTGGATGGACTTGCTGTGATTTCAACCCAGCCTTCCTGACTTTTGAAGTATACTTCCAAAACAGGGCTCTAAGGAACCCTCACAGATCAAAAACTCAAAAGCCTGAAAGGGCAGGATGGGGACCAAAATGTGGGAAACAACCAGGAATTAGACCACAGGGATTTGTGGTGACCTTGGAGGGTTGAAAAGTGCAATTCCACTTAAGGCATTCTAATTCACATTAAATAATCACACCAGAACCTACTGTGTTTACAAAACAAAACAGGAAAGAAGCGGATTCAGCAGATGGGCCTCTTACTTGCTAATCCTTTGAGAAGTTAATGTGAAATAATAGAAAGAACACTGGAGATGTTGGAAGACCTGGTCTCAAGTTTCAGTTCCATCTTCTTAGAGTTGTCTGGCTCTAAGCAGATAACCTAACACTTCCTAACTGTGATTCTCTATCAAAAACAAGGCATGACAACAGATCTTTAAAATGTGGAAAGGATTAAATGAGATGAAATTTTAAATATCACTTCTCACCTTCAAACTTAGATTCATGCCACCCTCACTTCCAAGCCTCCTCAACATGTTGATTGAATGAGTGAATAAAATGATTGTAATAAAAAGCAGAATATGATAAGTGAAAAAAAAGTAAAGTATAAGTAAGTGAGATTGGAAATTGGAATATCAAGAGAGAAGAGAGAAAATAGAAATGGGAAAAGAAAATTACCAGTGGAGAAATATGCAACAAATGAACAAACAAAAGAGAAATAGACTCGAAGATAAAGGAAAAAACTGTTAGTTACTCAGGTGGGGAAGGATTGGGGCGGGGAGGGTGAGCAAAATAGATGAAGGGGATAAAGAGGTACAAAATTCCAGTTATAGGGGCGCCTGGGTGGCTCAGTCGGTTGGGCGTCTGACTTCAGCTCAGGTCATGATTACACATTTCGTGGGTTCCAGCCCCGCGTCGGGCTCTGTGGGGGTGGCTAGCTCAGAGCCTGGAGCCTGCTTTGGATTCTGTGTCTCCCTCTGTCTCTGATCCTCCCCTCCTCATGCTCGCTCTCTCTCTCTCAGAAATAAATAAAAAACATTAAAAACTATTTCAAAGTTCCAGTTATAAAATAAGTCTTGGGGAGGTAATGTACAGTATAGGGAAGGTAACCAATATTCTAGTAACTTTGTATACTGACAGATGGTAACTGAATTTATCATGGGAATCATTTCATAACGTAAATAAATAAATAAATAGTGAGGTGTAGTCACTATGATGCATATCTGAAACTAAAAGGATATTGTATGTCAATTATATTTTACTTAAAAACTAATTAATTAATTAATCAATTAATTTGGAAGGAAAAAACTTAAAGCTTCTTGTAGACTATAGAAGGGAAAATCACTACCCTGTACCTGGGAAGATTGCCCTTTTCACCTGAGCACACAACTTCAAAAGAAACACATAGGGCACCGAAAGAAACCAGGTCACCAAGTAAATTTAGGAAATGCCAGTAATAAATGGAGTGACGGATTAGGCATGTAAATTCTCTTTATACTTTAATATAAGTATAGTTTTTTAAAAAATTATTTAAAGTTTATTTTGAGAAAGAGAGAATCGCAAGCAGGTTCTGCACTGTCAGCGCAGAGCCCGATGAGGGGCTTGAACCCACGAAATCATGAGATCATGACCAAGAGTTGGATGCTTAACTGACTGAGCCACGCAGGGAGCCCATGTGTCTCTCACTTTAAATCAAAAGCTAGACAATTAAACTAAGCAAGGAAGGCATGTGGAAAGCTGAGAGAGGCCAAAAGCTATATCTGTTGTGCCAGTTATCCAAGTTGTGAACGCAAAGAAAAAGTTCTTAAAGGAAATGAAAAGTTCTTGAAGGAAATGAAAAATGCTACAAATGATAAGAAAATGAAACTGCCTTATTGCTGATATGGAGACAGTTTGAGTGGTCTGCATAGAAGATCAAACCAGCCACAACATCATCTGAAGCCAAAAATCCAGTGCAAGGCCCTAACTCTTCATTTCTATGAAGGCTGAGAGTGGTGAAGAAGTTTCAGAAGAAGAGTTTGAAGCTAGCAGAAGTTAGTTCATGAAGTTTAAGGGAAGAAGCCATTTCCACAATAAAAGTGCAAGGTGAAGCAGCAAGTGCTGATGTAGAAGTTGCAAGTTGTCCAGAAGACCTAAGATAATTAATGAAGGTGGCTCACTAAACAATAGATTTTCAATGTGGGTGAAACAGCCTTCTACTGGAAGAAGATGCCATCTAGGACTTTCGTCGCTAGAGAGAAGTCAGTGCCTGCCTATCAAGCTTCAAAGCCCAGGCTGACTTTCTTGTTAGATGCTAATGCAGCTGGTGACTTTCAGTTGAAGCCAGTACTCATTGACCATTCCAAAACTCTTAGGGCCCTTAAGAATTAGGCTAAATCTACTTTGCCTGTGCTTTATAAACAAAACAAAGCCTGGAGGATGGCACATCTGTTTACAACATGGTTTACTGAATATTTTAAGCCTACTGTTGAGACCAACTGCTCAAAAAAAGATTCCTATCAAAATAGTACAGCTCATTGATAATATACCCAAGTGCTCTGATGAAGATGTACTGTGAGATTAATGTTGGTTTCATGCCTGCTAACATAAGACACAGCCCAGGAATCAAGAAGTAATTTCAACTTTCAAGGCTTATTACTTAAGAAATATATTTCATAAGGCTATAGTTGCCACAGATAGTAATTCTTTCGATGGATCTGGGCAAAACAAATTTTAAAACTTTCAGAAAGAATTGACCATTCTAGATGGCATTGAGAACATTTGCAATTCATGGGAAGAGGTCAAAATATCAACATTAACCAGATGTTGGAAGTTGATTCCAACTTCACTGATGACTTCGAGGAGTTCAAGACTTCAGTGGAAGAAATCACTGCAGAGGTGGTGGGAATAGCAGCAGAACTAGATTCAGAAGTGGGGCCTAAAGATGGGACTGAATTGCTGCGATCTCAGGATAAAACTTTGATGAGGAGTTGCTACTTATGGATGAGCAAAGGAAGTGGTTTCTTGAGATGGCATCTACTCCTGGTGAAGATGCTGTGAAGATTGTTGAAATGACCGCAAAGTATTTAGAATATTGCATAAACGTAGTTGATCACCAGGATTTGAGAGGATGATTCCAAATTTGAAAGTTCTGTGATCTCTACAGTGATTCTACTGTGATATCAAATGGCATCACATGCTACAGGAAACTGTTTGTTAGAAGAAGGGCTTATTGACATAGCAGACTTCATTGTTGTCTTCCCTGTTTGAGGAAAGCATCCTAGGACCTTGTTTGGAAAATATGAACTATTGAAAAATGCACTAACCAACCACTCTGCCTCTACAGACTGTTTCCAGCCTTCTGTTCTACTCTAGTGTAGATCCCGACCCTGAGCTGCGGACTCCAAATAACTTTCCAACTTCCAGCCCAGCCATCCTTGTTTTCTGCAGACTGGTGCGAGCCATTTCCTTTGTCTATCATATGGCTGCTATTTCTCCTGACTAATGGGGATTTTGTACAATTCACTGGTTTTTGTATACTGACTCCTTAGTTTGTCTAAGGTCTGAAATCAAGGAGAGATTATCAGCAACCAAGAACCTCTCCCTTTAGTCCTGAACAAGGTTTTCTTCCAATTGCAACCCAAAGTTTTACATGTCTTCCTGTCCCTAAAGTATATTTATATTTGTGCTAATAAATGTTTAAATGTTGTATAGACAGAACTTACCATCCCATAGATTCTCTAGTTATTTCATACATTCTATATCCTAAGAGCTATCTGTTTTCTTTTTAGATTTCAAAAATCTTGACATAAAGCCAGCGCATAATTAGGCTCAGTATTAATAGTGAAATTTAAATGTGCATAATAAAACATGAAAACTATAAGATAAATTCATTGTCATCTTATTTTAAGAAATTTCTACAGCCACCCCAACACCCAGCAGCCACCACCCTGATCAGTCAGCAG